TGAAACCTTACAATTGTAGAATTATTATCTGTAATGTGATTTCCAAACCATGTGACAGCCAATGGTGTATGTTGTAAAGGTATTGTAAAAGGCATTGTTTAACACCAGGCCCCCCCCCCCACTCCGAGAACAGATGGACCCCATGCGTGTTACCAAAATGTCCGGCCCGAGAATTGTACAAAAAGGGGTGTATTAACTTTTCACCCGGAGATTTCTTTAAAAAGGGGGTATTTTTTCTTTATTTCTCTTATCTCTTTGGACTCCTGAGAAATTATTCCGAATTTAGGGGGGTACATTGAGCATTTTTCATGATTTAGGGGAGTCTCCAAGGCAGGAAAAGCCCGCGAAAGGGGGGTTCGGAAATGTTGGCAGTCCTCAGATAGGGGGTGCTTTCAAAAAGAGGGAACAAGCATATGCGTACCCTAAATAACACTGAGTGGGGGGGGGGGGCCGGGGTTTAACAATGTTTAATTCGAGATTGACGTATGGCCCTACGTGCTACCAGTGTCTGCGATATGGTGTATTAATACTGAAGCCCTAAAAAAACTGCGCTTCAAAATGATCAAGAAGTGCCTCAAAAAAGTAAAAATCTTTGATTGACCCCTTTTACCATACTCGTTTTCCCTAATAGACTTGTGAACATTTCCTGGGGGTTATTTTTCCAGGGGGGTAATTATCCCAGACCGACTCAGAGGCCTAAATCCATACATCCTGTTAACCCTTTAGGCCTATATGAACTTGTCATTTTATTTCTATTCAAGTACTGCTGACATTTAGAATGGATATGACTAGAACAAAGAAGCATGTGAAAGATGTATGTTGTACTGTGCGTATTGCATGTATTGTATACATTATAATAGGGTTTATTGTGAATATCTGTAAGTATGGATACTTTCAATCCTTATTGCTCCTAAACAAAAATTATTATATCTCTGAAACTTTTATATGTTTAAGTGAACATGTCAGAGATTACATTTCATGAAAAATGTTTTGAAGGTCACGTGATCCACAAGGTCAATTTCAAGGTCAAATCTTAGGTCAAGAGGTCAAAGTACCCCAACATGTACAAATTTTCAAAATGGCGGCAGATTTGGAATCCTTATTGAATACCCTTTCCAGCACTACAAATTTTGTGAAGATTGACCCATTAGATCCCGAGATACAAGGGTTCAAAGGTAGGCCCGCCACCCCCATTTTTGAAAAAATCTTAAAATGTGGTTGGCCGTATCTCCCAAACCCCTGACCCAATTGACCTAAAATTTTGGATTTGGTGCTGTGAGATCACACTCAACAAGTACACTAAGTTTCATCAAAATCAAAAATGGTCGGGTTAAGATTTTCAGATTTTTTGGGTGATTTGACATGGATGACCCTTGTAGTGTTATGAAAAGCGTTTGACAAACCCAAAATTTGATTTCGATTTCCAATCGTAAATATCTTGATAATCAGACAGGCGATTGGATTGTAAAAGTCATTGAGTTCTTGACTGACCTAAAATTATCATTGCAGCATGAGCTAAATCCAGGATTTTGTTTCAGAATCTGAGATAAAGTTACCGGATCCCTTTAAATGCGTTTGCATTAAAGGTGGTACCCCCCCCCCCCCCCAACTCAGTTTTTATTTAGGGTAAGCACATGCGTGTTCCCAGCACCCCCCCCCCTTCCCTTTTTTTTAGCATAAGTCCCCTGTGTTAAGTCAATACGGGCAGATCTTTTTCATTGCAAAAGTCCAGAGAATCCAAAACTCTGCTGCCAGGCTCTGTTCACTTTGATGTACATGTACAGTATATGTATTGTAATTTGTAGGTTTATTCACACTTTTTTGTTTTGTTTAATATGTAATTGTTTATCAGTCTATTTTTGTTTGTTATAGCGCTTAGAGATTTTGGTGGTAAGCTCTTTAAAAGTAGCGTTTTTTTTATATTTTAATTTTTAAAATTTTGTTACGAACCAGAGATTGGTAGAGATTGGTACTACTTCTTCATAGGATGTCAACTTATATGCATTGCATTAAACCTGTTGATATTGATCTCATGGTTATATTTATTTTATAAATAAAATCAAACAACACAGCGAGGGTTGTAGATGACTACTAAGCAATCATTACTGTATGTAGGACACTGAGTTGAAGTTATTCATGATTTATTCAAGAGAGGAAGGTCAGACAGACCTGATGTTTAAAATATTTAACAAGAGAAACATAGAAACAGAGAGAGGCATTGAGAGAGATGTCGACACTTAATGAAAGAGAAAGAGTGATAATAAGGAGGAGAGAGAGAGGGGAGAGAAAGAGAGAGAGAGAGAGAGAGAGAGAGACGGAGAGGGGTGGGAGAGATAGACAGGGAGAGCAAGAATTAGGTGTGAAGAGGAAGATCAAGAGAATGAAAGATTGAATTTTACAAATGTACATGTTTCCATGTACCTTTTCTTAATTTATATTATAATGGGAACGATATAGTGATGGTCTTTGCTTAATTTTAGTTTGCATTCTTTCCTCTCGCCTTGTATTCTAATTTATTATTTTAATTTAGTAAATGTTTGTATAAATATAATTTTGATTTCTATCTCTTCCCCTATGTCATAGCCTTGTTCTTGCTCTCCCTTCCTCATGTTAGTCTATCTCTCTTTCTCTCTCTCTGTAATGATAACCCCTCTATCAATCTTTTCTTCATCAACTCTTGATATATTCCTCCTCTTCTCCTTCTCGTTCATCATCACGATCATCATCATCATCTCAAAACTGTATTAATCAATCTACATGTATAAGACTCCTGAAATTGATCAATACAGTTCTTATAATATATGACCATTATGTACAAACAGTAAGAACAATTATTCCAACTTGATGGGCAACAACGTAATCTCCATTTTCTCCTCCTCGATCAAATATTGGCTTCTTTTTCAATTTTCATTCTTTACTCGTGTTACTTCTCTTTCTGACTACAGTGTATACTCACAAGAAAGTAGAATCAATGGTTTGACATGAACCAGTCTAGAAAATGAACTAAATTTATTCAAGTATCAAATACATTTTGAATTTCAGACAGCTTTCTCCCAGGAGATGAAACAAATGTCTCCCTAACCAGAAACTGACAAAATAACTAAATGCCTTCCCCTCTTTGTAGTCTCTCATTATTCTTCCCTCTAGTGATGGAGGGTCCTTATCCAGTAGCACACAAATGTCTCTATACATAGTAGACGGCCATCTCTACATGCCTTTCTTCCCCCCCCCCCCCCATCCATCCATCGTCCAGTTCCTCTCTACCTCTCTACCTCGAATGGCTGAACAGTACCCCCAGCGTCAGGGCAGAGAACACCCATAAAATAATGACTTCTCCAAGCTTGAGTCCCCTCCTTGTAGAAAGTCACGTATCACTTCTGTTGTCCATTGTGAAATGAGCTCTCTCGTAGCATCTACGTCATCTTCTGATTCATCGGCCATATAGTGTTTGATGATGCTGCAACTGATAGATAAAAGGAAAAAGGCAATCAAATTTAAGTTTGTAACCTGAAGAATAACGGTAACAAAAGAACCCTTATCACACTAGATCATGGGGAAATATTTTTGTGCTAAAGGGTGACCCAAAAAGGTGACCTTACCATCAACTGAACAAAATATCGGTCTGCCAAATTCATATTTTCGGGAAAAAATAGATGTTCTAACCGACCCCCCCCCCCCCCCCCCCCCCCCTCTCATTCTCCGGCTGGCTGAGTCGATGTGAAATTTTCGGCACGATTTTCAAATTTTAACCCCCCCCCCTCGAAAAATTCCTTCATACGCCCCTGTCATGTAGATCCTCAAGTAGAGCTCATCAATACATAGACTATTATATTCAGATCAAGATAGACACAAGGCAATCAGTCTACTTAAAATGCACACACATTTAAACATACGGGACTAGATCTAGAGGTCTAGGCCTACATTTAGTAAAGCTTGACCCGGCCCACTCTCATGCATTACGTCGTATTATCAGCTTTATTCGTCATAAAAATGAATAAACACAAACTTTGGTTTCTTACCGTACAAACGATACTGGAGTGAAAGAAAATCACTGCAGAATAGCGGATTATGTACAAGATTAAGATGTTGCTTCGATAAGAATCCCGTTGTTTGCAACGGGACAGCTGATCACGGCGAAGGTAAAAATGTACTAGAATTATGTCCCGGCATGCTTTGCGATGAAACAACCGTGAAGACACGGATAATTATCTGGCGGCCGCCAGATAATTAACTGGCGGCCGCCAGATAATTAAGTGGCGGCCGCCAGATAATTAACTGGCGGCCGCCAGATAATTATCTGGCGGCCGCCAGATAATTTCTCTTAAATTTATTTCGTAGGTGGCACTAATGGGCTTCCGTACATCTGCATATTGATGCAATTTACTGTTTTTTTAAACTCCTCTCACATGATTGTTGAAATAGATACATTAAGTAAATGATATTGGGCCAAGTGTTTAGCCTTGAGGAATTCCATAATATATATTTACAATTCTTGATGTAGCAAAATTAATACAGGTACACATCCGTCGGTTATATAAATAACTCTCAAACAACGGTAAAAGATATTAAGAAATACCAACTCTGGGTAGTTTAGTTACAAGTACATAAACGTCCACAGTGTGGAAAGCCTTTTTCAGGTCAAATAAACACAGCTCAAGTATAAAGGCCGTCTTCCATTGTTTTCAGTCAATAATCAGTGACTTTCAATAAATATGTTATAGTCGAATGCTTTCCTTTAAAACCGGATTTTTGTTTGGCGCAAAGTATATTGTTTTCTATCATGCACAACGGAAAGTTCAATTTCAGTTCAATTAAATTAAAATTTAAAAAATTAAAAAGAGGAGAACTCCGGTCTGTTTCGCGAACGCTAGCGCGCTGAACCAGTTAATCAAGCCTATTCGTTTACGTGCAGTTGTCCAAAAGAAGTCGTAGATGGCGTTAACCAGTATTTGGCGCACTACAGCCGCTTTAATGTACCTTCATTTTTGTATTGCCCGTAGGGATGGAGAGTGTTGCTATCCCGGGTGAAGTGAGGGGTATGTGGGAGGCTCATCAGAGATACGGTAAGCTGCCTTGGTCTGAGCTCTTCCAACCTGTCATCAGTATATCAAGGAATGGATTCACAGTAGGAGCTCATCTTCATAATGCTCTACGGAATATCGACGACCAATGGGATGAATACCCTCATATTAGGTTTGTTCAATTCAACGCAGTTCAATTTATTTTATTCATTTCCAACAAAATACAATACATAATGACGAATATGTATTCAATTTAATTAATTCAATTCAGAATTGATTCACAGTAGGAGCTCATCTTCATAAAGCTCTAGGGAGTATCGACGACCAATGGGATGTATACCCTCATATCAGGTTTGTTGATTTCAACTTAGGTCAACTTAGTTCAAATGAACTTTTTTGATTCAGTCCAAATCAATTCACTCCATTTAAACAAAAAGAAATTGATTTACAGTATAGGAGCTCATCTTCATAATGCTCAACGGAGTATCGATGACCAATGGGATGAATACCCTCATATCAGGTTTGTTCATTTCGATTCAGTTCGACTCGGTTCAATTAAATTCTATTTAGTTGGATTCAGTCCAGTTCAATTCATTTCATTTCAATTCAATGTTAGGTTTGTTCATTTCAATTCAGTTCTACTCGGTTCAATTAAATTCGATTAATTTCGACTCAGTCCAGTTCAATTCAATTCATTTCAATTCGATTCATTTAAAGATATGAAAGAATTGATTTACAGTAGGAGCTCATCTCCATCGTGCTCTACGGAGTATCGACGACGATGAACTCCCTCAGATAAGGTTTGTTCATTTCAATTCAGTTCAACTCGGTTCAATTAGATTCGATTCAGTTCGATTCGGTCTAGTTCATTCATTTCGATTCAATTCAATTTAACATATAAAAAGAAGTTGATATATAGTAGGAGCTCATCCTCCAGGGGCGGCGATCCCGGTTTTTTTAGGGGAGGGATCGTCCCCCCCCCGGAAAATTTGAAAAAGTGCAATAAAACAATGTACAGCAGATACTGACCAAAGACTGCAACACACTATTAGGCTTTGGAGGGCCCAAAAGTGCAGCGTTTAAACAAATAAAAATGCAAAAATTTTCTTGCTCGGGAGCTATGCTCCCTCGCATAATATCCTTCTAAATGTACAAATAAATATTGTAGAAAACTGAAGTGTGAAAAAGTACATTGTTGGTTTTCATACTATAGTTTTGCTAAGGAATATAATTTTGTAATACAACAAAACTTCAAAACCTGTGAGGGGGTAGTCACTTTCGTCACCTTTACCCCTCTCATTCACTATGCTCACTCACTCAGGCTTGGGGCAGTTCCCCCCCCCCCCCCCCTCCCGATAAAATTCAAACGTGGTTTATTTCTAACTCGATACCAGTGACTAATTTACAAATATTGCTGAAATGGCATGATTTCCCTGAGCTTCCGGGGGCTCTGCCCCCTGTACCCAACCAAAGGCCCTAAGGCGGGCCCATGGTTGCTAAGCTGACCATAATTAAATGCCTAAAACACCTGAGCTTCCGGGGGCTCTGCCCCCTGTACCCAAGCAAGGGCCCTAAGGCGAGCCCCTGGTTGCTCAGCTGACCATAATTAAATGCCTAAAACACATGAGCTTCCGGGGGCTCCGCCCCTGCACCCCACCAGGACCCTAAGCGGGCCACTGCATGCTCATCTGACCATATTCAAAAGCATAAAACACTGAGTTTACGGGGGCTCCGCCCCTAGACACCATCAAGGGCCCTAAGGCGGCCCCTGGATGCTCATCTGATCGTAAGTTAATGCCTAAAAACTCTGAGCTTCATGGGGCTCCGCCCCTTGACCCCCGCCGGAGCTTTACCCCCTGGACCCCAGGCCAATTTACGCCCCACTTGCTTTGCTCTATCTGATCGCAAATACTGTAGCCCCCCCCCCCCCCACTCCCACTTTGAAAAACGTTCCGCGGGGCCTGCATGTAACATGTAAGAGCGGTGAGGATGCGGATTTTTTTTTTATCCCCCCAAAAAAACGTTTTTGCTCTTTACGTCACTCCTCTCTCGTTCCTCGCATTTTGTTTCCCCCCCCCCCGGTCATGACAAGAAATCGCCGTCCCTGTCATCTTTATAATGCTCTACGGAGTATTGGAAGACCAATGGGCTGAATACCCACATAATTAGGTTTGCTCATATCGATCCAATTTAGTTCAATTCAATTCAAATCAATTTAGTCCAGTTCAATTCTCGTTTCGATTTAATTTGGCATATGAAGGAATGGATTTACAATAAGAGCTCATCTTTAGCGTGCTCTTGGAGTATCAAAGACCAAGGGGATGAATACCCATATATTCGGATATATTCAATATACCATATCTTTGTAAGTGTCATGTTACAAATTATTTCATTTACCCGTTATGTATAATTGTATTTCAATAGTCAGAATGCGAATTCCGTGCATTAATTGCTGATACCTAGGACAGGTATGACGTCGTTTCATCACCTAACAACACATTCCTCCCTTCTCTTTTTATTCTATTTATTTCCCAGAGAATTATATTACAACACGGAGGAGGACCGTGTCGCTGTCGAGGGTGACGTCATCACTAATCCTAAGCTAGCCGACACTCTTCAAGCGATTGCTGAAAACGGGGTGGAGGAATTCTACAAAGGGCCTACTGGTTCTAAGCTCGTCCAAGACATACAGGATGGCGGTAGGTATTAAGAGTGAAGATGTTTTGTTTTTCTATTATTTAAGACTAATCATTATCATCGACAATTTGTGATGAACCAAGATTCATTATCCATTATACATTGATTTCATTCGATTCGATTTATTTCTTTACGATTTTTGTTCTTTTTTAATTTTGCAGGTTTGTAAATCATATTTTTTTACTGCGAGATTTAAGTATTTTTCACTCGACTGCTACGCCTCTAAACGTTTTGTAGCATGACCTATTAACCGAATCAATGCCGCGCGCGGCAATTCTTGCCTAATAATGTAATTTTTGAAAGCATGTTCGGACTAGGACACTGTCAGAAGGTTTATGTTTTTCCTTACGTAATACCTATTGTTCAGGGGGGATGAATGAATAGATCATCCCCCTGAACAATAGGTATCAATTACAGATCTACGCCCATGCTTCATGGTGAAGTTCGTATCAATAAAAGGCGCTCTATGCCCAAATTTCCCATGGAATAAAACATTTCCAAAGACGCGGAAAATATAATGTAAAGGTTCATTAAAATTAATCCCAAACCAGGTAACACGGAAGGGGTTAATGGCACTCCTCGCTTATTTCTCTATCCAGGTGGTAATGTGACCCTGGGCGATCTTGCAGACTACACCGCTATCTGGAAAGGGGTAGAAACCCTACAAGATTTTCAGTCTCTAGACTACACGATCTATTCCTCCGAGCTCACATCGGGCGGCCCGTATTTTCAGTTTATCCTGAGGGCCCTGGAAGGTACATGTTACGTTCATAGTTGATCTCGATTAGCAATTCCAAAGTACTGTGATCATTGACATTATTATGTAATAAATATAACCATAATAGACAACATTATAATTCACAGAGTGATGCGATGGATAGAGCTTATAATTAAAGATAAGCCCAAGCGATGCTGTTTTCAATCGAGATCTGATGCTACTTTTAACAATTTCTACTTTCGGTGCTCCATCTCCCACCAACCCCTTCCCCCATTTCATTTAGCTATGGTATTAACTTTTTTGTATGACCCGACTCGAACACACATGACACATCGGCTAATATTCGGCGAAAGATGTTCGCTAGGTACGTTGAAATCTTTCAAGGTTTCGACCCCTCTCTTACCAAGCTCTAGTTTGCTATTTCATTCTTGCTTCCCGTTGTCTGAATAGGCCTACGGAGTTCTTTTAAGCTTAAATAGAAACCTCTAAGGGAATAGATTTCCAAGTCTTGGAAATCTTAAGTAAGCATCAAATGGTCAAACTTTTATTTTGGTGGTGTCTTTTTACGACCAAATAAAGGGCGCCCTCTCAATTTCCCATAGGTTAAGGATGGTTATTCATTTTGGTAACGGGCAATGCTTTAACCATATTTACAGTTCTGTGATTTCAGCTCAATTCATTAATTTCAAATCAAGAGGTCCCGGGTTTGAAGCAAATGCGATGCGCTAGTGTCCTATGGTAAGGCATTTATTCTCATTACCAAGTCCCTCGGAGAGGACCTAATGGGTCGGTACTATGGTTGCTTATAGTGCTAGTGTACGCATGCTTTACAAGCACACAGGGGGGTAGTGAGCACTAATTTTTTTCCCTCGAAAATTTAAAAATCGCACCCCCCCCCCCCCCCCTTGAGCACCAGACTGGGGAGGGGGCCCGTCTCTAAATAAAAGTAACATCAACGTGTTTCCCGGCTTCCCCCCCCCCCTGTATCCGCCACTACCCCCTCCCCCCTCCAAGCCCCTCTAAAGAACCGCTAACGGCATGTCGTTAAGGTAATACTAGTATTTGCTTTGTTTGGTTATCAGGTTTCGGTCTGCCTACCTCCGATGATATGACATCAGACCAGAGGATCCTCTTGTATCATCAGTTTATTGAAGTATGTAAAGTAGCCTTTGGTCTCAGGACAAAGCTGGGTGATACGTCGTCTGAAGAGGTTGAAAAGGTAAGACACACTTAACATGGAATCGTTCCGTCATATCTTTTTTAAGAAAAACACATTGGATACAAACAAAAGCATGATGAACGTTTTCGAGGAAGTTGGAGATAAAATTGATTTAGGCCTAGAGTAAGAGAGTTTGAATTTAGACAGTTTGGGATCATCACTCATTGTAGGATCTTCTACTAACAATAGCGTCGTAGTTATCCTATCCCATTCTGTTTCGTAAGAATTGTCCACAAACCATTAAGGGTGACAAACTTTACGTATCCATCTTTAAGACTTTTGTCTATCATGAAAGAAAAGAAAATGGAAATAGGGAATAGGGATAGTTTGAATAGAGAACAAATAGTATTGGTTTAAATATGTTTATATCAGGATAAAGCTGGGTGGTACGTGGTTTGAAGAAATTGCAAAGGTAGGACACACTTAGCATGTAATCGTTCATACATTAAAAAACCATTAGATAAAAGCAAAAGCACAATGGACGTTTCAGAGAGTGTCTGAGATAAAATTGATATAGAGTATATAACTTTGAATTTAGACAGTTTGGAATCACTGATTGTAGGACCTTCCGCTAACAATAGCGTTGTCATCACGACAAAACTATTCCATGCTGTTTCGTAAGACTTGTCCACAAAACATAAAGGGTAATAAACCGTAAATATTCATCTTTAAGACTTCTGTCTATCTTAAAGGAAAATAAAATGGGGAAAAGAATAGTTCAAATATAGGACAAATGGTTGTATTGGTTGTCAAAAGTTTGATAATTGTCAAAAAAACAGTTTCTATAATAATAATACGCTAAGGCTCCGCGGGGGGGGGGGGGGGCATGACGTCTCCGCCAGCCTTTGTATTCTATTGTTTTTACGCCTTTTTACGCAACAGTACGCTACCCTACGCCAGATCGACAAAGCAGTAAAAGCTTTCCACACAGTAAGCAACCATAAGCAAACCTGTACACCAGCTTACGCATAACCTACGCAGGGACTATTTTCCCATTAATACGCAGCCTAATTTCTGCGTAGTCGGTACGCCACACTACGGAACTGGTACGCAAGATGAACGAAAACAATTCAACATGTTTAATTTTTTTCGCGTACTTTCGGCGTAGAAACTTGACGCAGAAAGTACGCCTTTTTTACGCAACACTACGCTACATGCCTACGCAACAGTACGCTACCCTACGCCAGATCGACAAAGCAGTAAAAGCTTTCCACACAGTAAGCAACCATAAGCAAACCTGTACGCCAGCTTACGCATAACCTACGCAGGGACTATTTTCCCATTAATACGCAGCCTAATTTATGCGTAGTCGGTACGCCACACTACGGAACTCTACGCAGTTCCAGTGGCTTAAAGAATAACTACCGGTACAGTTGGATCGTTTTTTTATTTTTATATAAATGGCAAATAAAGTTCTTGGTGGTTCTAATTTAGAGAGTCTCTAGACCTATATCTATTTACACCCCCCCCCCCCCCTCTAGAATCCCGCGGATTTCCGCGGGTCCTGCTAGTCTTTATAATAATCAAAATCGTTTTATCACTGAAGAACTTCTTTAAAGGCCAACTGCACTACTTGTAGCTTTTTGCACCCTCTATCTAAAAAACAATGCCTAATCGGTGATGATCCTCTTTTTCTTATGTTAACTGAGAGCTGAGTTGATGAGATAACCACCTGTCCAGTGACCTTGCAGGGCAGTCCAATCCCTCCTGTAAACTATGGCAGACAAGCTTTATACTTTAAAATCTGCATTGAATGAAAATGAGTTGTGTGTGTATCTGTTAGACTCTGCAGGATATACGCTCACCTGAGTTCAGTAGATACGTCCGAGAACTGATCACAGAAGCCCTCCCGTACGTGTACTCTACATCATCATATGATTACGTCATTGACCAGGATGTAGCAGTGCAACGGGGTAACAGCATAGGTACAGACCCGGATGTAGGTGATACTAGTCACATCAGTGTTCTAGCATCCAATGGTGACGCGGTAGCTGTGACGACATCGATTGGTTATTAGTAAGTATAGCACAAACAGCACAACATTTTAAATTATTATGAAGTAAACGAATGAAAATTGTCGGAGTCCGTCTTAATAACCAAAAGATTTGTCTCTACAGGATAATAATGTCTACATATGTTCCACGTAGACTACGTTGGTTGTGATGGTCACCTCCATTTAAGGGGAAGACTGATAAAGATGATGTTTATATTGTTTCTAATAAAAAAAATTGCCCTTGCGAGACGTTCATTTCGGGCTAAGCTTCGCCTAAAAAGCAAAAGTGGTTCGGGTTATGGGAGTTTCATTGTTCTTCCATAACACATTTAGCCGTGCTTTCACACTGAACTTTATAACATTAAGTATGATGATCGCTCTCATTTTGCTTGAAAGTTAATGTATGGTATGCGGGTTTTATTTCAGTTTCGGATGCAAAGATGCATCTATGTCGACAGGTATCATTCTCAACAATCATCTACGAAACTTCTACTTCGACACCAAGTATCGAACCTGGACCCTACCAGCTAACCAGTTATCACCTGGCAAACGCCCTCTATCGACCATGGGACCAACCATCGTCATCGGTACCGAAGGGGATGTAAAGATGGTCATCGGCGCGTCGGGAGGTTATCGTATTGCAACCTCCGTCGCATGGGTAAGACCCTCCCGCTTTATAATAACTGAAATAAAAACCATGAACATGTAAACCTAAAGTTAAACACGGTCGGGGAGTTTTCATATTTTTTTGCTAAAATAAAGCTTTAAGTTATTCGGATGCAGCGGTTAGTTTGATAAGAGTCGTCATATCGTCATGGATTTCCAAAGTATACAGTACTGATTCATGAAGTTGTCTAACACTAATCGTAGGTTACGGAGTACTGATCGCATGAACATATCGAGATGAGCAAAGCGCTCAGCACGACTAGACCATACATTAATTTTCAAGCAAAATGAGAGCGATCATCCTACTTAATGGTATAAAGTTCAGTGTGAAAGCACGGCTAAATGTGTTAGGGAAGAAAATTGTTATGAAACTCCCATAACCCGAACCACTTTTGCTTTTTAGGCAGAGGGTAATCAATGTCGCTTTTTTTCTTGCAGGTCATCCTTCGAACTTTGATAATGAATGTCTCTCTGGACGAAGCCATCGATGAGCCACGTATTCACAATCATCTTCTAACAAACAAAGCCTTCATCGAAAGTGGTTTCTCTCAGGTTAGTGTACAAGAAAAAATCATAGAGAAATCAATAAAAGAGGACATTATTGCAAAACCAATCTTAACCTCTTTTAACAACAAAAACACAGAAAACGTAATATTGCTTTTTACAAATGATACTGGAATCTAACTTTTTTTTAGAGACGTTTAGACCGATGTGTATTGTAATAGCTGGTGATTTAAAAGGGCTTTCAGAGATGAAGGAAATAAGGGATTTAAAGATAAACTTGAGTTCTGGTAATGCGATTGCATTGTGAAAGAAAAGGTGTGGAATGGATCAGAAAAGTTGATCATATAGCATGTAAGTAATGGTGTGTAATGCAAGGTTCTGGAGTCATCAAAATCATCATAAATTTGGCAGAGTCTTGGTAAAGTAACAATCACTTACACAGAAAGATGTATATGGGACAACACAAATGGTGTCGGGGCTAGTACTACCCTGATTTCCTTATCTTTCTATGCTCATTACTCAGCCAGTATACATTTTCTTCCAAAATTGTTTGGCACATGACATTTATTTGTAATCTTGAACAGTCAGTGTAAGTTTCGTTAGATTCTGTGAGAATTCATTTTCTTTTTTTTACCAGAACTCAAGTTTATCTTCAAACAAAAACTTGACTGCCCTTTGATACCAAATCTAAAGCAGAATGACGTCATAAACTATTAGACCATTTTTGTAACTTCCTAATTCTATTTAGAATACCACTGATTCATTTGATCCATTTCTCCCATGTGATAGAACATAGTGACGGCCCTTCAGGACCGGGGCCATGTGGTGGCAAACTCGTCTCGCTCCGGGGTTGTTCAGGGGATTTTACGAACATCTGATGGAATAGCAGCTTACTCAGACCCAAGGAAGGGAGGAAAAGCAGCGGGGTATAGTCGGTCAACGTCGTCAAGTCTACACAAGGTTTCTTCTCTGAACCTTTGGATAATCTCCTTAATCTTATTAAGCAGGCAAATGCATTGATAATATATACAATTTTTCTTTGTTGTCATTGTTAAAGAAATATAAGTCTTGCAAGAGAAAATCTTCAACCATTATTTTGTGCCTGTCATGTATTCGAACAACTGACGAAATATTTAAATAGCAAACTTGTGAGTTATGATGAACGGATTATTAAAACAAACAGAAAAAAAAGTGAATCTGAAGCAATGTCCTTACACGAAATAAAAGCCGGGACGTGAAAATGATATTTTATTGTAATTAATACTATATTTCCATTTCTATGTTTATCTTATGTTAGTATTCACGCTTGCTCCATGCTATGATCCGTTAATCGTCTTTCATCCGGGAGAATCAAAATTATTCCCATCCACCCTCACCTCTCTCTCTCTCTCTCTCTCTCTCTCTCCTTCTCCTCCATCCTCTCTTTCTCTCTCTCTCTCTCAATCTTCATCTCTCTCACTCTCTTTTCTTCTCTCTGTTCAGTATTATAATTATTAGTCGAACTTGACCTTTCACTTTCACAAACATGATAAATGATTCAAATCCCAAGGAAAGCTAGGTACACGTACATCACGTGGACAAATGCATTGAGAGACAACCTGAAGATGGTAGTACAGTATGCTGGGGGGCCAGGGGAGATGACAACGTTTAAAATTGACTTTCTGACAATTTGATGGAAGTTTGATTATTCATTCCACTCTTGAATTAACGTAGTCCATTCGGGATAGATAGCTGGGGGGCATTACATCCACTTGAGACACATTTCCATATGAAAGTAATGAGAGTCCGGCGGGGTCGGCTTAAAGCATTGCTCACGATTTCAAATGAATCAGGGCCCCTCGTATCTCCATGATCGATGATTATTTTTTTTTTAAATTGTCGCTCAGCTTCATATGCCTTGTAGTCATATGCTTTTGTAAATATGTTAATTCACATACCCTAATTTATATAAAAACCTATTAACTGGGACCTACACAATACAAGCTTAGATATAATCCAGGAATACAAGCCTCATTACATTTCGTGTCTACTTGTTGTCAAATCTTCTTTACAGTCATCGCTCTTTTTGCAAAGCTTCTGCTGAACAAACCCCCTTCGCATGTCACAAACTGTCAGGCTGTCAACCAAATCAAAACTTGTCTTTTATAGACACATTTATTCAAAATTGCTTTTGATGAATAACTTACTTTGTTCACATCGATGTATAGTTCAAATGTATTGTAATTTGTAGGTTTATTTGTATTTCTTGGTTTAATATATCATTGTTTGTCGTTGTATATTTTCTGTTACAGCGCTTAGAGACTTCGGTTGAAAGCGCTTTATAAGCACCGTTTTATTAGTATTATTGATTATTATGAAAGAGTCATCATAGCAGTGAAAGTAACATATTTCTATTATACCGTAGACTCCCACTATAGGTAAAGTACACTCAAAGGTAAAGCATATTTTGACGCCTTAGGCGTTGTATCTAACATACGTTCATTAAAGACGAACATTGATGAAGATATTGAAGGGTGTATTCAAAGTATTAATTTTAACATATTAAGCCTAGATTGTTTGATATGCCCAAAATGCACACATTTTCTATGGCATTTGCACCAAAGCGTAGAATATGTTATTGTAGTAATATTTGCACTATACATAATTACCTCTTTATGATAAGCAGCGGGTTATTATGCAATGGCTTCTCATTCACGTTCTTTGAAATAATACATGTATGTCACGTACAAATTCAATTATTTTCATTGTTTCCACGTATCCTTCACGTGACTTTTCATATTGGTATTAGACTTAATTTTCGAACAACAAAATATTCATGTACCATGAGAATGAAGTTTTCCAAATAAATACAAACCAAACACACAGGTATGACATAGTTTTTTTTATATGCCTTGAGATATAATTAGCTAAACTGCATTTTCATGGTGATACATTTAAGACAGATCCTTGATCGGGAATCACAGACAAAAGACATTTTTCCTTCTCAATCCAGTGACTGCTCGATCTTTGGTTAGCATGAAATTAAAGGAAATCAACTTGTTGTATTATTTACAGATATGATTACAGCGTCATATTGTACTTTTTTAAAGTGTATTTGGTCGGGCCCATTGCTCAGATCAGTCAGATGAACTTTTTTTGCAACGTTGATGACCATGATAAAAGATATAAGAGTGTAACTAGTTCATCACAAAACGGTCTCTTACCATTTTTCAAATTACATGGGAATATATTTATGTGTGAAACTCAAACTGTATCTAAGGTAAAGAATCATAAAAAATATGGGTCGGAGTGTGCTGACCTATGATGCAGAGGCATGGACTATGAAAAAAAAATTTACATCAAAATGTTGGTTGTGAGGGAAGATGGCAAAGAAAAGTTGGATGGATAGAGTGACAAATGATGAAGTTTTACAGAGAGTGGAGGAGAAGCGGAAGTTAACATGGAAGGAGAGACAGAATAAATGGATTGGGCATATGCTACGGCATCATCGATTTCTCAGAGATAACATTGAGGGAATGATTGAAGGAAATGAGCCGAGGGGAAGGAAAAGAATTGTGGTGTTGGATGGTATGTAGGAAAGACCTCAAGACAGAAACAAAAACTGGGTATTTTTCACGCCTAAAACCTGTTGTTCAGTAGAGCATCATGTTGATTATGTGAATATTAAAAGCCGACAATAAAAGAGCTCTCCTCTTCAATGTGCTAACCCGCGGAAATCTGTGCCATGACAATTGACACGCTATTACTAACTAAAATGCCAGAATTTCACAATTATTCTTTCGTGTACTACTTTTAAGAGATAACGATAAATGCCATGATAAAGATGGATGCATGTTCCATTCGATATTACATTCATATATCTCATTTGTACCCTTATTCTGATTAACTCTCATTGTTCTAAACGTAAAATCTCTAACTTTTTATTTCTCAGACAGAAAAGGCCAAGTCACTTGATAAAAATAACAATTCCAAACAAAAGTATATCAATTTGTATGGATTGTAAGAAGATCAATACATTTCTTTCGTATTAAAGCATCTACAGCTATTCATTGCAAATATTTTCTTTGTTAATCTTATTTATCATTTATACCATACCAATTGAATGAATGCATCGCGATCGTAATAATCATCTCGCATCTTGGTATTTCTCTCCAGTCAAAGGGGAAATCCCCAAACCGTGATATTAAGTAGGGGAACCAGATTTAATTGAATTATCCTCCATTGATTATTATTCAGTGATAAAAACCTTCTGCGTTCGGTGAAAAGTCGTAAATTATTTATTGCCAGTCTGTCAGTGTTGGTGGAAAAATCAGGTTAGCGCTTTTTGACTGAAAACTTCTGAAGATCAGAAAACCATTCCTCACCCAAATGTTGGTTAAAACATTGGTTTGCCAATTATATGGAATAAACAAGTCCTCATTCTGAATTTGTAAACAATCTTGGCTACAATCAATATGGTTAAAGGTAAATCCCTACTAAACGCGTTCGTATTGAAGGGCAATGTTGTTTCGTGGCGCCTAGCTTCTGCTTCTCTTTTAGAATCGTTAAAAAACAACACAGAATATGGGTTTCTGGCTCGGGGAGCGGTAGTCACTTGAACACTCACACACACGTACGCCCCGAAGCTCACTGTGTGTGTGCGTGTGTGCGATAGGTCGGTATTGTACATCTAGACGAGTGTGCGCGACTGTGTGTGTGAGTGTGTGTATCACGCAGACCGAAGCGCATAGGACTGACGAGAGAGATGAGAAACATCGTGCATGCATGCTCAATACGATGAACGATGACAGTTACTCTTAGCACTATGCGCAGAAAGCAGAAGATGCAGGCCGGTTCTTGCCGATTGACTTTCAACAAGTTGGATTATGCACGAGATGATGAAAACCGTTATAGAGCTGAGCTCAATCTGGAACATTCAGCTGGGAATTATTATCACAGAAATTAGGAAATAAATGAACAGCATTTCATTCTCTTTTCAAACAAATAGGTAAGTTTTCTTAACATAAAAGTAGGGGCAAATTCAGGAGAAAGTTGTATTATGTGTATCAGTAGCAGTTGCAGTAACTTCGTAAAATTGTTTGCCTACGAACACTGTTTGTTTTAAATTTGTTATAAATGTTAAATAGACTATATTGCATATTTGGTTTATTTTCCAAGACATTGCTTGATGTATTTACATTTTTAAAGCCATGTAATGCATACATATATGTACCTTTTTTAAAATTTAGCTTTGAGATGTTCTTTATATCAGATATTCACGATATTGCCATGTTCTGTGGTAAATTTCTGTGCTGGGTTAATTTTGCAAACTCGAAGAAATTGAGAAAATAAGCTGATATCAAATAACTATTAAACGACAATTGTTTTCGAAACGAAAGATACAAGAAACGCGAAATGACTCGTCCTACAATCTTTTGTACTTATGTCCCGTGATTAAAGATGTAGTCAAATAATATTCACTTAATTGGATGTCGATAAATATGGAGGCATGGATTTTCCTTCACATTTCCTCAGATTATTTCACCTGGATTCAGTAAAAAGTACATAAGCATCCTTTTTATAATACTGTTAGCTAATAAAAAAATTGGTTTATTTCTCACTTTCTCCGTTTTTCAGTAAATTATTCTAAAAGGATTGCCCGCACAGCACGTTTTTTGGTACTTGACTAAATTAAACAATGTTAAACTGTTTGTTTGTACATGTTTTGTCATTAAATATATTTATATAACAACAAACAAGTATAGGAACAATGAGAACAAGTAGTGATAACTTTTCCTTTCGATTATGATGATATACTACTGTATTGCACATTGTTAGCGTTTATTCAGACGAATGTCACCTACACAAGTTTTAAAATTGGAGAATTCTAAATTGGTTTAAAAAATGGTGCTGTAAGTAATCGAACTCACCCCACCCCGCCCCCTCCCCCACCAAAAAAGAAGGAAATTCAGATATGGCAATATCAGAAAAAAGTGGCTTCTTTTTCATTCAGCATCACTTTCTTTCAAGTGTCTGGGTGTGGCGTTTTATTACTCCTTCGTAACATGCATCTCTTCTTTAATTAAAGTAATTCGATATTCCGATTTCGTTTCTAGTTTGAGGTTTGAAATTAGCTCTACCTTCTTACCTCTACCTCGTTTTCATTTTCTTTCTCTCAGTATCTCCCTTTTCTTTCCCTCCCTCCCTCTCTTTCCTTTTCTCTCTCTCCCTCTCAATCTCTATCTCTCCACCCCCTCACTCTCTGTCTTTGTCTTGTCCGTCCTTAAAGCTATCATAAAAGAGGTTAGAAACAAGTTTTCAAATCAAGATATTGGTCAGCTCTTTTCATTGCTACATGTACCTCGTACAGGGTCGAATACGCGAATCCATTTTACCAGGTTTTTTTTAAACAAAAACCTTAAAGGAACTTGTTAACATCGTTCAGAAGAAAGAAATGG